TATATATAAACTTAGATGTGATACAAAGGCAGAAGAAACAAAAAATTGTATGATAAAATGGATGCAAAACTTTAAAGAAACAGTTACAATACAACAATGGGAAGAATTATGGATTAAATCTATAAAATCACACCAAGTTATAACCTAAAGGAAAACTGGTACAAAATGTTTTACAGATAGTATGCAGCTCCAGCAATAATACCTAAAATAGACAAATCATACAGTAATAAACCTTGGAAATGCCATGAAACGGAATATTTTATCAGATGTGGACATGTAAAAAATTCCAAAAGTACTGGAAAAATATACATAGTACAATGCAGAAAGTTTTGGAATTTAAATTTGAAAAGAAACCACAACTTTTCTTACTAGATATCATCTCAGAAAAAATCAACAAGAAACAACTTTAGAGAGAGAGGTTAAAATATATTTGTACTTATAACTGCTGTGAAGAATATCGGAAGCCACTTCTTTATATCTTTTTACTTTCTTTTCTATTTTCTTCTATTTTTTTTTTCTTTTCTTGCACTTTTTGATTTTTTCTTTCTTTTTCTTTTTTTCCTTAATATTAGTTTGTGCTGGTTTTTATTTTCTTGTTTAAAAGTTTCAATAAAAATTGTGTGTGTGTGTGTGTGTGTGTGTATTTATTTATTTATTTATTTATATGAAAAAATCAGTAAGAAACATCATAATTTAATGAGATATATGCTATAGCAGCAAGAATAAATTTTGCTCAGCACTGGAAGAACTACATAACTCCAACAATATTTGATTGGGAACTTAAACTTGGAGAATATGCAGCAATGGAAAAACTAACAGGATACATACACAAGAGAAGTTTAACCAAATTTAAGCAAGAGTGATCCCCATACATGCAATATATCACACAGCATAGCAAATATAATCATTTACAGACTGGCTTCTAAGGGGCTTATATATCTACAATATGGCAAATTAGCAGATGTATAAAAAGGGGGAAGTTACAAATCCAATAGTTCTTTTTTTTCTTTTTTTTTCTTTCATTTTGTTTTGAAATTTTATTTTTTATTAAATACGATCTGCTTACCTATTTTTTTCCTTTTTCCCCTTTTATTAACATGTAAAACAATATTAAGCAATCAGTTCAAGACCAAAACTTACACTGTATAACAACCATTCTGAGGTAATCTGCAGCAGTTTCTTCTCTCTAATGCTATACTCAATTTTGTATGAAAAAGTCAAATAATGTTATGCTTGTAATACCAATATTCTAAATTGTAACTATGGGTAGTCCTTGTTTGGCAACTGCTTTAGACAGCGACTGTCTGCAGTTATGACGGTGATGAAAAAATAACTTTGCGACCTATGCCCTCATTTACAACCTTCTCTCTCTCTCTCTCTCTCTCTCTCACTCACTCACTCACTCACTCACTCATTCACATGTTCACCATTAGTGTCCCTTAGTATGGTATTGTATTGTCCTGTGTCTGACCTGCTTTTTTCCTTTTTTGCCCCCTGGCAAGGCAGAGAGATTGCTTAAACAAGCAATCTCTTCCTGAGCTGCTTTTCTCCCAGCACAAGTGTCCCTAAAAAGTGCTAACTACAAGTTAACAAGCTCAGCTTTGTGACCTTAATTAGTTGATTTGAACCCTCTGGCTGGCTGGCACTGCTACCTGACACTGACAAGACCCTAATCAGTTTCACACCTTCCCCTTTTGTTTGCTCCCTAAGCAATTTAGGGCTGGGAGCCAGGAGTGTGCTAGGCAAACAGCTGGCACTAGTGCATTCCTTTCAAGGTGTAGTCCCCACTGTGTGCCTGCTTACTCTCTTGGAATTCCTTCCTCTCCAACAAATGTAAATACAAACATTAATTCTGTTTTTGCTAATTATCCCAGGACCGGGGTGGGAGAACCATTCAGAAGAGCAGGGGAGTGAGGAAAAGGGCCATAAGATTTACCCTTTTTACCCAGCTTCCTCATGAGTTGAGTTACAAAAACCTTCCCTGCCTTTGGGCTCACCTGGTTGTTTGGGGTTATATCCTTCTGATACTGTAAAGCAAAGGAAAGCTGAAGTAAAATCCTAAGCACTGTTGTGGTGACATGATTTTCACTTGGCGACCATTTTGCTTAAGGACCGAGTCACCAGAACGAATTGTGGTTGCTTAACGAGGACTACCTGTAATATTGATGGAATATATCTTTCTTTTTTCTCTATTTCCAATACTCCAAGTTATCTAAACATTAGGATGGTGATAACTTTAATTAAAACTGTACACATTTCATTGTTTTGAAACAATATAATGTATCAAGATTTGTAACAATATAATAAAAAGGAAAAAAAAACATGTCTGGCAGGAAATATTCCTAAAATCTCTACCTCTGTTTACCTGCTTATTTTAGAAGAGTCCTGCAATCTCACTATATAGTGTGGGGAAGAATTACACCTTTAGGCTTTTGGTATTAGACTTGGAGAAAGCAAGCTCTGAATAAAATAAAGTACATTCCTGAATAGAGCAAGTTACTCACCCCAATCTGTATAGAGAGAGAAACACCAGTTAGCCCCAAGGGTGCAAACTTACTGTCTAGATCACAACACCAGCTAGATCTAGCTGAGTAGGGAGGCTATGCAGGCAGCAGTCTCTGATAAGAAATGCCCAAATTACTCAAATATATGCATGTCCTAAAGGTAAACTGCTAAATCGTGTATGTTAAACTATATTTTAACCAGCTAATGAATATCCATTTGGAAATGATAAATACTTATCCTTTTTTGTTTAGGACAATTTCTCCATTAGGAAAGTGCCTCAGTGATCATTGAGCAATAAAGTTTTGTTCCACCCTTGGCTACTCTGGGAAAAACAATATATTCATCAGATAATGATTACTGTCCTTGTATAGTTTGAGCCATTTTAGATGAGTCTAGCTTCTTCCTAGGAGAAGCATCCATAGGAGAGAAAATGTATTTATAAATCTATATCTGACTCACAGAATACATGGCTAGCTAAATAACAGTGTTTCTCAACCTTGACAGCTTTAAGCTGTGTGGACTTCAACCCCAAGAATCCCCCAGCCAGCCTTTCTGGGAGTTGAAGTCCACACTGCTTAAAGCTGCCAAGGTTGAGAAACACGGATCTATAAAATGAAAATTAAAAAGTGCCATTTTCCTTCTAGTGACTTACAGTGTCTTCTTGGCATCAATCAGACAATGTTGAAGTAATATAAAGTCTGCACTCACTGCTGTTAATATGGCATGACAATTGTTGGATCGCTTTACAATATGCTCATAAGGAAATTTCACTATGTCCTGGGTACTGGTTGTGACCTCTCCTGGACTCGGAGGTGTTGCATATGGTCATATGTGCCCTTGTCATCTCACAAATTGCAATTTGTTCTACATGTGGCTGCCTTTGAATATTATCTAGAAGCTTAAACCGGTGCAGCGTGCAGCAACCTGAACAGTGATGAGGACATCTAGATTTGTCTATGTAACTCTCCTACTCCAGGAGCTGCACTGACTGCCTGTCAGCTTCTGGGTGAAATTCAAGAGGCTGATTATTACTGTTACAGCCTTGCATGGCTCAGGTCCTGATTATCTCCAAGACCACCTCCTCTGAAACGAGTCTGCCTGTCCTGTAAGATCTGTAAGAGAGGTCCTGCTATGGAGTTTCATCTTCAGGGACCCCATAGTTTGGTTTTCTCAGTGGTGTCACTCCTTCTGTGGAATACCTTGCCCCTGGGTATATGGACCACCAGTTCCCTAATGAGCTTCCATAAACAGATGAAAACCTGCTTTCGGAGACCACATATAGGGGATGTTAAATTTGGGGTTTGTCCCTGTGCACCGTGCCATTATAGTGTAGACATTACTTGTTCTGTTGTTTTCCATCTTTCTTCCATGTGCCACTCAGAGCTGTTTGGAATGGTGTGACACAAATGTCAGTAATAAATAACTAAAGCAATATTTTAATCTTAAAACAGGCTTAAAATTATAGCCTAAAGATTTCAGCAATAGAAGACTATATAAAGCACATAGACAATATTTTATCTTAAAGATCAAATGTATTTTACAAAACAAATACTTTGAACTAGCAGTAACAAATGCTAGACAGCAAAACCCGTTGGAACCACATTTTCAATGTTTGTCATGTGGAGAAGGAACCTGAGGAACTTTCTTGCAGATGTTATACTTGAAAGAAAGGTAAATGTGTTCAAGGTTTTTGGAGAGATGAGGACATGGAAGGCTATTATGAATGTGAGTTGTTTAAAACCTTCCTTAATTACTCAGGGCACTTTCATTTTACTCAGATGAGTAGTCCCACACCATTCTCAGCACTGGGCAATGGTAGACAAGAATCCAAGAAAGTATCTCATGAGGGTTAACATTTACTGGCAGGCACTCAAGGACATTCCTACAAGGGAGGAGGAGAGGGAGGAGCAAAGGTTCTCCCTCGTTCAATGTTGCTTGCTTCCATTCTACACAACGCCAGGGTGTCTGCCTGTTGCTTCTAGAGTACTGGGTCTCTGGCCATTGTGTAGTCATGCCTGACTTTTATACAATTCTGCTGGGGGTCTTGATCCTTCTCCCTCTGCTGGCCAATATTTTCTTCCCCTATCTTTGGCTGGACCTGGGCTTCTTCTTCTCTTCCCTGTGGAAAGGATACAAGTACGAAAAGTGTATGCAACGTAGTACACCTTTCACCCTCCTGGATGTTTTCTTAGCCAAGGTCCTGAAACACCCGGAGAAGCCTTTAATTCTCTTTGAAGAGGAAATTTATTCCTATCGGGACATCGACAGACGTAGCAATCAAATGGCCAGAGTGCTGAAGGACCACATGAGGCTGAAAGAAGGGGAAACGGTGGCTGTTTTCTTGAAGAACATCCCTGCCTATATCTGGGTCTGGATGGGCTTGGAGAAGATTGGCTGTGCCATGGCATGCATCAATTACAATATCCGATTAAAGTCTCTGTTGCATGTCTTAAGATCCTGCAGCGCCAAAGTGCTCCTGACAACTCCAGGTGAGCTGGACCAAACAGTTACTGTACATCCACGGGTCAGGAAATATATATTTGAACCATGAGTCTGAGCCTGTTTGATTACAGCTCTCTCAAGGGGAGGGCATCTTAGTGAACTTTTTGCCCTTCCTGCTGGCTTTACTGAGCCCTGTGAATTATTTCATGTATCTCTGACACAGCACTCTCACTGGCGTCCTGTGAGATTGTGAAAAAAGATTATGTAACTGCCTCCAAGCAGAGGCATGGTCAAAGGTCTGCAGTTCTGTTTCAGCTAGTCCAAAAGGCAGCGCTTCTAGAAATTGGATTCTACTTAAGGTCAGAGTTAGTTCATCTTGCCTAAAATACACCCCACCCCAAATCTCAGTTTTCTGCTAAACTGTAGAAAAGATAGCAGATCAAGTGCATGTTTTCCTAAGTTCTCTGTTTTACCCTGGTTTGGAATGATCTCATCAGCTGCCTGTTTGCTTCCAAGTTTAATGCACCGTGCTGCTGCTATGAATTCAAACCCTAATAAGCTAACAAAATACTTGCTCTTTTTAAAAGAATGATTCACTAACTTAAAGAACTTGTCTTCTTTCCCCTTGTTTCATAGTTTTTACTTCACGGGGAAAAAACAAAAACGAGTGAGGTTCCTGGAAAGAGGAAGAAAAAAAATATTGAGAAAGCCATTTAGAAAACATTTTAGCCTGAAAAGAAAAGAGAGCAATTATATTTTGGATCTGAATGCCAAAAGACAGTGGGAGTGGATGTAGCAGAAAGAAAGAACCCTCAGAATGTTTTGCAAACCCCATCTTGACAGATCATTACCACATCAATGGGCGTGTGGTTACTTGCACCGAACCATAGTTCAAACATGTCCTGGCAACATTTTTCTGCTGTGTGAAATTCCTCTCATCTCCCACTTGAGGGGGAGACAGAAAGCTCTTATGGTGCTATCATATGCAATCTTTGCATCAGTGTGGACCCTTGTCAGCTGAATTCATGTATTTATGGTTGAGCAGGGAGATATCTCAAACTCCAGTTGACGCAATTGTTCTTTTGAGACAGGGACATTTGGAAAGCTTATGGATGGGTCAGTTTCCCAATGGTGAGGGAACAACTCACCCCACTCCCAGGCTTCTGGACTGATGCACATATACACTAGAGAGATGGAGCAATTAATCTTGTTAGGGTGTGTGAGTTTCTGTTTTTGTTTTGCTTTAATAAAAAAGGGAATTATACTTGCAGGGACAAAATGCAAATCTGATTAGGCTTACACACATTGGTTTAAAAAACAATTTACCTATGTTCATAAGGGGATATTCTAGTCCTCCACTACTTCCTATAATTATTGTTGCAAGGTCTATTTACATACCACACTTTGTATCCCTCTTCCTGTAATCTGAACTGCTCTTAAACTTAATTTCCAGAGAAATCTTTTTTTTTAAAAAAAACAAGAAGTGCAAATTACTCTGCTCTCTTTTTATTTTTGACAAGCGAATTTCCCTGATGTAAGCTTTTAAATGCTTTTAAAAGTTCTTTTCAACAGATAACTACCACATCACATACAATTATTTAGAATTAGGTCTGTTCCTCATGGTCATTTTAGCATTCGTTCCTCCAGTCCTTGAGTCAGCAGATAAGTGATGGTGATGCTATCCGTTCAATTGTGTCCAATTCTCAGTGATTCTATGGAGCAGCATTCTCCACATTTTCCAATTTTGTACGGCTTCTTTCAGTTATTTTATGCTGTGGTTGGTGTCAGCTTTGATGGTGTCTAGTCACCGTGATTTTGGGTTGCCTCGTTTCCTTTTACCGCTGACCATTCCAAGCATAACAGCCTTTTCCAGTGAGTTTGATCACATGACATGGCTGAAATAAGTAAGGTGGGATTTTGTGATTTTGCCTTCCAGTGATATGTCTGGTTTTATATGTTCCAAAACTTGCTTGTTTGTCACCTTTGCTGTCCAAGGAATTCGCAGGAGCCTCCTCTAACACCACAGCTCAAACAAGTCAATTTTCCTCCTGTCTAGTTTTTTCATGGTCCAACTTTTACAACCATAGGTAGCTATGGGAAACACAATGGTGCAGACTAATCTGCATCAGGCTGATGTCCTTGGTTTTCCAGATTCAATTCATGTTCATCATTGCTGTGTGATCTAGTGCAATTCGACACTTTATTTCTGAACTCCATTCACTGCTTTGATCAATCTGTGATCCTAGGAAAGTGAATTCTTGCACACATTTGATCTCTTCACCCTGAATTACTATTTTGACATTTCCATTCCTCACAGTGGTCATGAGCTTGGACTTTCTGATGTTCAAAAAGAGGCCAATTTTCTTTTTTAATCTTTCTTCTTTAATCCTTTTGATCAGATGTTTTAGGCCTTCTTTGGTTTCTGAGAAGAGAGTTATGTTGTCAGCATATCAGAGATTGTTGATGTTCCTTCCTCCAATCTTTACTCTGACTGTTGATTCTTCAAGTTCCAGTTTCCTCATGATCACTTTGGCATACTGGTTGAATAAAAAAGGTGAAAGAATGCAACTTCACCACACTTCTCTCTCTATCTTGAACTAATCAATGTCTCCATATGGTGTTTGCACAGTGGCTTCCTTATTTGTGCACAGTAACTGCACCAACTTGACCAGATGTGTTGGCACCCCAAGGTCTTCTAGGGCTCTCCACAGCTTGTCATGCTTGACATAATCGAAGGCTTTCTTGTAATCAATAAAGCAGATCTAGATGTTCTTTTGATATTCTTGAGACTTTTCCATGATCCAACGTAGATTTGCAATATGGTCATGAGTGCCATGACCCCTTATGAAGCCAGCTTGAACATCTGGTAATTCCCTTTTGAAGGCTGGTGCCAAATGTTGATTTTCTTGAGAAGAATCTTGCTAGTGTGAGGGATGAGGGCAATTGTGTGGTAATTGGAGCAGTCCTTGGAGCCGCCCTTTTTTGGCAATGGAATGAACACTGATTGTTTCCAATCCTGTGTTTGTTTCCCAAATTTTCATAAGGCTGCAATGGTTGTGGGTGGTACAGGCCTCAACAATTCTGCAGGGATGGTATCAACACCTGGGGCCTTGTTATCTGGCAGTTGGCTCATTGCCCACACGACTTCTTTCTGAAGGAAAAGGATGGCTGGTTCTATTTCTGCTACCCTTTCCTCACATCCTGAGAAGGCTGGGCCTCTTTGCTGCTGGCATATAGCTCTTCTGTATATTCTTGCCATCTGTTCTTGACACCTTGTTGCTCAGACAGTTCTTTCCCTTGCTTGTTTTTGATGATGCTTTTATGAGCAGTAAATGGTGTTCAGATCCTTCTGACTTGAGCAAATGCAGTCCTGATGTGGCCCTTTATGCAGTCTTCTTTCAGCTCTTTGCAATGCTGGTCCCAGTAATCTTCAGTGTCTTTCCTTGCTGCTCTTTGGAAATCCGCATCCAACCTCCTTGCTTCCTCCCATTTGCCTGCTGTTTTGGCTGCTTTTCTTCACTTGGCTGTTTTGGTGGTTTCATCTGGGAGCCATTTGTGCTTTTCCTCTGCCTTCTTCCATGGTAGGTGTTCAACTGCTGTTTCAGTGATGGTTGATTTAATTTCCTGCCACAGTTAATCAGACAGCTTCTCAGCAATCTCCAGCAGTTCAAACCCATTTTTCACCTCAACTGCATACGTGGAAGGGATTTTGGTGATGTCAAACTTCTTTGGTGGTGGTGTCTTTTTGGTGTAGCACAATTGGACTCTGATCTTAGCCACCAGCAATTCATGATCTGAAGCACAATCAGCCCCTGGATATGTCTTGACACTGAGGACTGAACTGGTCCATCGATGGCTGCATAGGACTTAGCCAATCTGATTACAGTGCAGTTTATTTGGTGAGGTCCAAGTATATAAGCAACACTTGTGCTGTTTGAACCAGGTATTCATGATTCAAAATCAATTTTCATGGCAAGATTGTACCAAACGATCGCCTGCGTCATTCCTCTCCCCAAGTCCAAAGCTGCCAGTGATGCCTATTTCTGTTTGGCTGCCAACTTTTGCATTAAAATCACCCAGTATGTAAACAATGACTTTTTTGACATTTGCTCCAAAATGTTTTGCTGGTAGCCTAGAAACCCTCTATTTCAAGCTCCGTTGCATCAGTCGTTGGAGCATAGACTTGGACAACTGTGATTTTAAAGGGCTTGGCACAGATTCAGATGGTCATAATGCTATTGTTTACCATTGAGAAGCTTCCCACTGCTTGGGCAATCTTCTTGCTTGGGATAAATGCCACTCCATTTGTTTTTCTGGTGTCATGTCCTGAGTAATAGATAGTGAATTCCTCGGATTGGAAATAGATGTTGTCTATCCAGTCTACCTCACTGACACCAAGGAGGCCTGATTTTGAGCCTGGCCATCTCGCATTTCATGATATCCAATTTACCCTGGTTAATTCCCCAGATATTCCATATTGCCATCCGATGTGTCTCCGTGCAGCGCAGAGCCTTGTTTTCACCAATGGCTGTATCAGCAGCTGGGATTCCTGCTGCATTTGCCCCAGGCATGTCATTAATGCCTTGACTGCTCACTGTAGGTCCTTGTTCTTCCCCAGTAGCTTGTTGGGTACCTTCTGGCCTGGGGGTCATACCATTGGGCACCGTATCTGAATCATTTGAGAACCTTTCCATAACATTTTCTTGCCAAGGTTTTTACAAGGTAGGTCGCCAGGTACTTTGTCAACCCTCCCCATTTACTCGGGCTTGGGATTGGCATGCAGATACGTATGCTAACATAAATGGTGCTGCCCTGATGGCTCAGCTCTGGAGCATCCCCAGGCACCAACAACATCAAAGTAGTGAGTGTGACTAAGGTGACTGCAGCCTGACTCCTTTTTAAGTCCATGCGATGTATGTTAAAAAGGGACAGAGGTTTGATCACCCCATCACACCTGCTGTTTTAATGTTGTGGGCCCTTTCTGCAGATGCCCATCTCTGAGCCCTATTCTGCCTCAATGATGAGCCCAGCAACTTGCACTGTTTTTCAAGCCTTAATCTGGAATAATCCAAAGAGAGCAATTGGTCAATTCCCCTACTGCATTTCCCTTCCATCCTGCTTTACCTGCCAGTGGGAAAAACAACCAACAATCATTTGATGAATTTATTTGAATGGTCTTGAATGGCTTTGGACCAGTGCTTTGGGCTCCTCTTAGCTTTCTCCCTTGGTATTATCTGCAATGCTTCCAATTGGGCAGCTTTGAAATGGCCCAAAGCAAACACCAGAGCCCCCCAGCCTGAAAAAATGTCCCCATGCAAGTCTTTGGGTGAGCAGTCTGTAGTAAGTGAGTAGCACCTTCTCTGCAGATTGTGCTCACCTCCTTTGGTAAGTACTGAAGAGGATGCACCACATGGCTCCTCTTGAGGAGCAATAGTCCTTGCTGTGATTATATAAGTTCCTGCCACTATAATATCATGTCGACCCAACTTTCATGTCTATGATATGTACTTTCTGGCTAATTAAATGTGTTGTACTCATAGGTCAGAAAATGAATATTCTGAAGATGATGGGCTGTGAAGAGCAGTCTTCGGAAAATATGTTGCTGCTTTAAGGGGTTGCAGTCCAATGCTTGGACTTAGTCAAACTTACTGACAAGAAGTCAGCAGACCTTTCCAGATTCTTGATTTGGTCTGGCTTGACAAGGCTTGGGCTCAGACGCAGCCTTAGCCTCTCAGGCAGAAAACATGGCATGGCTAGATAACAGTCTTTACAGAATAATGAGGTAGAGCCACTTAAAACAGTTGATTGCCCTCAGTCAGCATCTCCCTTCTTATACTCTATTCTGACACTTTTTTTTCCCACTCTTCCTGCAGTTTGGCAGACTTCTTGTCTTGCACTTTTCATCCTTGAAGCTGGGCTACTGTTGGTTGTTGTCAAACCTAACATCTCTGTCTTGCGAAAGTATGGCTCTCAATTTCTCCACAGATCCATTCATGCTCCCACACACGCTTCCCACACTCCAAAGTAGTCTCCAAAGTGTGACACAGCCTTAAGGTTTGGTTGAGGAATGGCATATCCACTTTCATCTTCCTCTAAGTACAAGTTGTCTCAACTTCACTGGGTGCGGGAACATGCCAATGACAAACAAGTCTGGTCTGGTCACCTCCCTGCAAGTGTGTGGGTGGTGGTGATCATGGTGCTGTATTATAAAGTTCACATAGCAATAGAGTACACTGGAACTGTAGCAGATGAAGGAGGAAGGTTTGGTGTTTTCTGCAACATCTGGTTGCCTGTATCATTGCCTAAGGACTAGAGGGGGGTAAAATGGGTGGGCCAGGCCTTCTGAGTGACAGTGTCAATATCTAATGGAGAAAAGCTCTGATAGTCCCCTAATTTTGGAGGTCTTTTGAAATAATTCAAGATATAGCAACATAAAGTAAAAATTGAACTGTGTAACACTTTTGATGTAAAATTCATCTGGTAGCAGAAAATGCTTTGGAGGAACATCCTCTATACTTTGCTATCTCTTAGAGTTATCCCTGAATCTCAGGTACTGGGAAATTCTGTGCAACTAGACTGACCAGAGACTGTGGGTTGACTGAAATGATAGAATTATATTTCTAGAATATTGCAATAAAGCCTAACATTGTAAAAAATGTAATGCACTTCCATTAATATAGAACGGGAAGTATGGCATAATCACTCCTGCTGCAGTGGACAAGGTTTACTATCATTCATTCTGGTGGAATGGGAGGGCAACCAGGGAGTGTGTCAGAGAGTGAATGGCTGAGTTCAGACAACATGCTAGACTAAGAGAAAATGGAGTTCTGTACAGTAGTTTGTTGTTCCATATGTTGTTGAGCCTTATAATGTTTTCTAAACCATAATTAGATTTTGTTTGTTGAGCACAGTATGTTATGTGAACACAGCAATTGTGTTATGTTGAGATGGGTATAGGAATTAACCTAACCAGTATGAAGACATTTAAGCACGTGTGTGTCGTGCAGAGTGATCATCACAAACACTCCTGTTTGTGCAGAGCGCAGCAAAAAC